TATATATATATATATATATATATATATATATATATATATATATATGCTATCGCTCTCTCTTTTTTCTTATTCAAACTAAAACCAAAGGTTTTACGATAAATAATCCACTTTTAAGATTATAATAAATAAATAAACAATATGAAGAGTAATGTTTAAAATTAATAGTATTCATTGTAAAGAGATGAGATATCTAGGACCCCACCACTACCATTTATAAATATTTCATTTTATTAAAACAAAAACAAAAACAAAAACATGCAGACCATTTTTGTAGTGTTGTGAAGGTAATACATGTAAAGCTGGGGGTGTTTAGCAATATACGTGTTGCTTTGTGTAGCACATGTCCACTTTCATTCTAATTTCTTACATTTTTCTTTTTAATCAACTTTTATGTTTACACCACTCTTTTAAATATATGTATATATATTAATTAAAAATGAAATATGAATATGAATATTATTTGGTGAAAAAATCAAAGAGGTTGGGCTTTAAAACAAGAGAGGTGGCTCATTTATTATTAACAAATAACAAATAATAAATAACAATGAAATGAATGAAAAAACTAATATCCGTCATAAAACCAAGTATTGCTGGAAATAACAATGACATGCATGGAGATCTTGAAAAAGAAGTTGCATGATGCATGGTCCCCTATTCCTAACAATATCATTTCCACATTAAAATTATATTTTCTTTCTCAATTACAAATATACATGTAAGATAATAAAAGTATATTTGTTAGGGGGTGGGGTGGACCATTACCTAGGCCTAGGCTGGTCCTATCATTCATTCTATTCACTTCACAACAATCATCTTAAGTTACACTTACACTGACCTCCCTAATCCCTATTCATTCGTATTCTTAAGTTTATTCATGTCCACATTTTGAAAAAGCCCAATCCAATCCAATCCAATTTGGGTTGGACCAAAAACTCTTAACTATTTGTATATCTAATCGTACCTATAAATAATAAAGATATAATGGATGGATATAAGATTTAACACTAAGTAACAAATATATGATTTAAATTCATAACAACAAAATTAGAAAGAAATCCCCTAACATTGTATCATATTATAAAATGATTGGTTACTCTAGTCATCGTCGTCATGGATTTCTCTTTTGATCAGATGCTTTAATGGATCCGGTCGAATATAAGCCTCTGGGCGATAAAACCCCATCTCATTCATTCTATTGCTTATGGCATGAAGTAATGGTTTCTTTTTACCTCCATATGCATCTTTATCTTTCTTCACCAATTCATTGGCCTCGGCAGCCAACTCCATCGCAAAACTAAAAGTATTCTCCTCCCACAGCTTCAGCCTCTCTATGTCATGCATCACCAGTTTCCCAGTCTCCCATATATCCCTCACCTGCACTTCCAGAAATGGAGCTCTTTCGTGCTTATATTGCATCATCTCATCTTTTTTTGTCTGCAAATTCACCAACCATGCATACTTTAATAGCAATTATATAAACAAGTTAATTACATGGCTTGTTTCATCACAGCCGTTTATGTTAGTAGTTTGTAGGTGATTTTTACTGTCCTCGCCTACTTGGTGTAATTGAGATTCTACAAATGGTTTTGGTTAACCTATAATACGCGTTATGGGTGTGGTGAGGACACTTATATAAGCTAATGTGAACCTAGGAATTTTAAAAGGTATTCAGTCTCGAACCTAAATACAAAAATATCTGCCATAAAAGGCCCAAGCCATAACAAATGTGAAGCCCCTTTTTTACTTGTTGGAATTGAGACTTTAGATTCAGAAAACATAACAAGACCTCTGTGTTTTGCTCTAACTATTATGCCTAAAAACAAAGTGTGAATTTGGATTATCATCGAGTAAATTTCGCGATTCCCAAAGTTGTAATAAGGTTGAAATATTACTTTAGGAAAGATTTTTGTGCACTATCCAAGTTGATTCAATTGATACATCAGCCAAACTCTAATGTCCCTGCAACAGTTTCCATTCAAGCTTGTTTAATATAACAATGTAATCATTGATCATTTGACCTTATCCTAGTTGCAAGAAAATGCCCTCTTTCCCTTTTTAGAATCATCAGCATTACTACCAATTACCCTTTGTCCCATGTTTCAAATCTTGTTGAAACATGGGTGCGTTGAGTTCAAATTGTTTTTGAAACATGGGTGTGTTGAGTTTTTTGACAGTCCCAAAAAGATAAAGGAAAGTGTCATGATGAAGTGCGGTTGTTTGGAATACCAACTTATAAGCAATCTTAAAAGAACTGTTGGTGATTTTAGTGTCACCGGTTACATTTAGTGTAATGGATTTTATACGTGTGTTTCAAGGGGATTGAACTTTGTTCTAAAACAAGTATGGAGAGTGTGGAGTGCACACTTGTATTAGTCTAAGTCGGTCCCGGTAATATTTAGGGAGCAACGCCCCCTGAACGCAAAACGGGGGTCCGAAATTATATAAGTATAGGGTTTATAATGAAAAATTCTTAAATTTTCTGTGGCATGATTGTGAATTCTATAACTTGGTAACTCCCGTTTTGAGTTTTGAGATCTATTTTTTCGGATGATCAGTTTTTTTGGGCACACACGGAAGATTGGACATACTCTATATTCTCTCTGGTTTTTTATCTTGATTTCGGCCAAAATCAAGATTGTTGCTTTTACAATTATCTCAATTCGGATTTCGTGATACCAGGCATATACAGTCGAAATATCGAATTTGGAAAGTGATTCACACGATTGTAGATGAAATCCGGTTACGGTTTAACAAGAACTTGAGATTATCGTGTTGATCCAAGAAAAACCTCAGTTCTTCATCCTGAACATAAACCCTAAATTAAACAAAAGTTCTATTAGTGGATGCCTAAATCGAAGCAAAACCTGTTTGAAATTGGGCAACAGATGTAGTGATCCCTTCCTCCAGAACCAAGGACAAACCCTAAGAATTCTAGTAAATAAATACAAGACATATCTTATGGTGATGGTACTATAATTTAATTTATGATAGATTCAAGCATGAGCAACCAAATCAAAGAGTAACTCTACAAACATCACGCAAAAGATTGAAAGGAAAAAAAAGGTTAAAGTATGTACCAATTTTCTTCTCCTCCATATCCGGCGACCCCCAGCGCCAGAGTTCTGCGAGTGTTCGGTGCCCTAGAAAAGGAAACTCAAATTTAGATAGGAATGAATAGCCATGTCAAATGTATGCTTGGAGATATATGACCTTAGATTGGATTGAAAGGCTGGAACGTTGTGGATGAGTACGTGAGCTGAACTGCTGAAAGAGATTATTGGAGATTTGTAAAGGTTAGGATAGAAATAATGAAATCAGGAGCAGATTTTGAACAAGTTGAAACGATGGATCGATCATTACAGATGATTGTAAAGGGTAAAAGCCGGTGAAACCAAAACAATTCGTCGCCATTGCCATATCAAACTGAAACTGTCGGAGCTAACCTTATCTTCACCCATTTCGGGTTTTATAGCTCAAGGCCTAAAACCCTCTTCTTTCCGCCGTGTTTGTGAAAACAAGATTCAGGAAGTGTTTTTTATTTTTTTATTAACTCATTATTTGAGCCGACTAATCTCAAGCCTATCACATGTTTTGCAGATAGTACGAAGTCATCGTATTTGAACCTCTGTGGCCACAAGAGGAATTTTATTCCTCTTTGAATTTATACATGTGACCTTCTGATACTTTTGACCTTTGGAGTCAAGTTCAAACCAATCAGTCATCACTCTTGTGGTTGATTCAGGAAGTGTTAAATACGTAGATCGGATGGGATGAGATGAGACGGGACGGGACATGACGAGATTAATTGTTTGTCTTATGCTTCATACGACTAGGACAAGACAAAATTGTTAAAATGACCATATTACCCCTAAATGTTATTCAATGTTCTTTTATATCATATAATGATTGTAAAACAAATCAACCAAAAATATATTTAAATTATTTAATCTATGATATTAATACTTTTTCTTAACATCCAAGACCACATGTAAATAACATTTGTCATAACACAAATTTTAAATACGCACATAATTTAAAAAGTTTAAACACAACAATTATAAATAACATTTGTCACGCCATCGTCAAAAGTTTAACATTTCAATAATGGAGGCTGAAATCGAGAATGGAGGCTGTGGAAGAGAAAAAGAGGATGCAATTAAATTATGTTTGTATTTTGATATCAAATAATAAGGGTAATATTGTAATCTCAAATTTAGCCCTATGTTGTTCTACCTTTTTTGGTGGAACAAAAAAACACAATAATAGTCATATCCAATCTTACTTTTGTCCCATGTTGCCTCATCTCATATTTGTCCTATGACACATCAAACATGAGACTATTTATTTTTGTCTTGTCCCACACAGTCTGCATACCAAACACACCCTTAGGGTGCGTTTGGTACGCTGGACAGGGTGGGACATGACAGGACATAACACATTTGTCCTACGTTTGGTGTGGCTAAATGTGGAACTAAGTGGAACTAAGTTGGACAAGTATGGGACACGCGTGTTCCACCATTACCCCTGGAACTAAGTGGAACACAAAACTTTTTCCCTCGTTACCCCTTCTTCCCCTCCATCGCACCCTCCATCGCACTCCATGCTCAGACTGCCTCCATCGGCGACTGCCTCCATCGGCGACTGCCTCCATCGGCGACTGCCTCCATCTCCTCCATCGACGACTGCCTCCATCGCTTCCTTCAACTCCATCGACGGCGTATGAATCGATTTTGGTCTAGAAGACCTAACCCCTTTTCATCGCCTCCATCGCTTCCTTCAACCCCATCGACGGCGACCATCTCTTCTCGACGGCGAGTTCCAATCGACGGCGACCATCTCTTCTCGACGGAGAGTTCCAATCGACGGCGACCATCTCTTCTCGACTGTCGACTGTTCAGGTACGCATTCGACCTTCTCTTCTCGACTGTTCTGCGACTGTCAAATCGATGGCGACCATCCCTAATGCCTTTCATTCTTGATTTCATCAACTGCCCAATATTTTCTTGATTCAATATCTGGTTTTAATTGCATTTTGCTTATCAAATGGGTTTTAATTGCATCTCTTCACAGGTTGGATTCAATCCCTATCCAGTCGCCTTAGTCACAGGTTGGATATATACCATGGTTATACCATGTGATGGACCACATAACAAATTAAGTTGTATATTCTCATATTTACTTCCTAATCCTCTTGTCTAGATTCAGTCCATTCATCTCTATATACGTACGTGTGAAGATACTCGAAAGCTTATTCATATGTTTTTGTTTTTGATCAATTTGTAGCAAGATACATTTGAATAGTATTAAATTCCATCACCAGGAGTTTCCAACTGCATCTCCTCCAACATTAGTTGATTAGTAGCCTTTCAATTTGTAGTTGTTCATATTTGCTGAAATGCGACTGATTCAACCTCAAATCAGATTGTATCTCTATCTCAAATTTTAACCAGTTTTGTCTTGGGGGTAAATTGGTCATTTTAACCAGTTCTGTCATGTCTTACCAAACACTGAACAGCTGTCCTGTCCTGTCCTGTCTTGTTCTGTCATGTCCTGTCCTGTCCTGTCCTGTTCTGTCCTGTCCTGTCTGCGCACCAAACACACCCTTAAGGCTCTTCTTTGAAGCAATCTGATGGAATTAGAATGTTTGAATTTTTCATTCATCAAATTTTATTTTTCGTTTGGTTCATTATTTTTCATGATAGAAATCTTTAAAATTTTATAAATTTTATAAATAAAGGAATTTAACATTTTTTAACAACTACATAGTATCTTGATATAATAAAATTCTCTATTTTCATAATATCAAATATGCACTTAACCCAACATACTCTAATCTTATAAAACCAAATATGACCATCGTCGACCACCTTCAATCACCGTCGATCTGAATCACCACCGACCACCGCCATCTGAACCACCGTCGACTACCATCGATCTGAACCACTGTCGATCACTATCGATCTGAACCACTGCCAGCCACCCCCGATCTGAATCACCACCGATTTGATCTATCATCGATCTAAACCACCGCTGATCACAGTCATCTAAACCACCATGGATCACCACCGATCTAAACCACTGTCGTCCATCGTCATCAAAACCACTAGAAACCACCGTCGATCTGAAACACCGCCAACTACTATCGATCTGAATCACTGTCGGACACCGCCGACCATCACCAATCTGAACAACCACCAGTCTGATCCATCGTTGATCTAAACCACCGCCGATCTAAACCACATTCCGACCACCACCACCTGAAGCACCACAAACCACCACCGATCTGAACCATTGCCGACCACCAGCTACTACCACCGACCTGAATTACCACCGGACACCATTGACCACCAACGGTTTGCACCACCACCGATGCCACTGTCAATATGAACCACCGTCCATCTGAACTGTCGCTGACTACCTTCATCTGAATCACGACAGACCACCATCGATCTGAACCACTGCGGACCACCACTGATCTGAACCATCGTATACCACAAGCAACCTGAACCACCGTCGACAATCGTTGATCTAGTAACGTTTTTTGGCTTATGGTTATATTTGGTTTGTGTATTTTATTTTGTTTTATATATTAAATAATTATTTTATTAAAGTATTTTTAGTTTTAAAAAATTTAAACTTTTCAAAAAAGAACATTTTGGTCATTTACCAATATTTAATTCCAATTCAAAAACTACATTATGTGAACCAAACATACAGATTTCAATTTCTTAATAGATTTCATTCCAATGTCTGCTAACCAAACAAGTGGTCAAACCTGACATTGTTCCATTCCAATTCATTCAAAGTCAAATTTCTTTAACCGATTTCATTTCATCCAAAAACATTTTGCGAACCAAACGACGCCTTAGAATCTAACTTTTAAATCTTTATTTAGGGTCTAAAATAAAACAAGGGTCTGATTTCACTTGTTTACTAGTGAATAAGTGATAAGTTATCTCTAAGATGACATGATTAAAAAAAAAGAACTTCGATTTCAATCAGTTTTCTTGATTTTCACTCGTATTATACCACCTTTAAATTTAATTAAGGCTCGATCAGACGACCACATCGTAAAGTAAGGTTTTATCCACTATCGAGATCTATTTGAATTTTTCGTAAATCAAAATTTGTAAAAATGAAAAAGGATTTCTATGCACTATACATATAATATAATTTAAACATGACAATGGAGGTTGTTTTTGTCAACGACCGAGATTCACAGCCGTCATTAGGTCACTGTTATAGTCCCAAACCCCACCAATCGACTTGTTATGCAATTCTATACATTAACAAAACAAGTAACTAAAGCGTAATCGTTTGAAACATACTTCAATCGGTATTCGACATCAACGAAACATCAAAACCCTCGGCTTCAATTTGATGGTCTTTCGAAATCAAGCAAATATTTGGGTCATGTCATCATTAACGAGTCATCCAATGCCTTAAATAAATGAAAAGTTTGTTTTAGACTATTAAATAATTAAAAAAGTAAGAATCATATCAAAGTTGATTCCATTTTAATGTAATTTTCCTTAAAAAAAAACAAAACTTACATAAAATTATAGATAATGTGAAATCCTTTAGATATATAAATGTTTTTTTTTTCAAACTTAAATATAAAAAGTAAAAACATAACAAAATACATAGCTTTAGAAAATGGTTACACTCTTAAAGATTTATCAATCTCAAGATACTGGATTGTCAACAACCAAATGAATTTCATTTAAGTTTGTATAATATGACAATACGGATCATCATGTAAAAAATGGAGTTAAGATGACTAATATAAGAAAGGATCTGAACTTATGATCATTTTTAATCTCATCCCACTTCATGAATTGCGTTTTTTACAATAATTGATCTAATACATCTCATTAATGTTAATATTCAACTAAGATTGATTCAACGATAATCACTCTTCTCAATAAAACTTCCATTCTCCTGAGCATCCAACTCTATATAACAAATACAATATAGTATATATATATGGGATTCGGTTGGTTGGTTGGTACTCAATAAGGGAGACCAACCAAGTGGGATTCTAAATTTTTCAATAAAGTATTAATTACATATAAAATTTAATCAACTATAAAAAAGCAAAAAAAGTGGGACGAGTACATTATTTCAAACCTTTATTTCTAGTTGGCCGGATGGGTCGAGTATAGGGGTTGTTTATCCAAACACTTACCCAATTAGCTTACTGGTAAGATCAAACACCATCACTTGTCTTATCGGGTAAGATTTTAGTCCATCAAAACAACATTATATGCAACATTTTACCCGGTAAGCAATGTTTGGAATGATTAAGTCATTGGATAATGTTTTGGAACAAATAAGTCATTGGACATTTCAAAACATGTTAAATAACTCATTGAACTTTCTAAAACTTGTTATATACATCATTTATGATCTATAAAACTGGTTAATGTGGCAAAATAATGGAAAAAATCTGTAAAAAAGCCAATAAACCTTCATATTTTGAACGATTAATTTCCTAAACATTTTTTGAACAAAAAAGTACTTACGTCTATAAAACGAAATAAATATACCAAAAAATACTTACATTTATAAAAAAAATTACTTATATTTAAAAAAATTATTGATGAAATTTATTTTAATTAAAAATAAAAAATATCTTGTCATTGATTTTTTAAACTAAAAAAAATAAAAAAGAATTTAAAAAGGACTGCTGATTAAATTTATTTTAATTAAAAGTAAAATATATTATGCATATGATTTTCTCAAATTAATAAAAATAAAAAAAATTAAAAAGAATTACTGATTAAATTTATTTTAATTAAAAAATAAAATATATTTCGTTGGCGATTTTTTAAATTAAAAAAATAGAAAATAATTTGATTAAATTATTGACGGATTAACGATATATTAACTAACTATATAATTAATTAAATTTCGTTGCTAGTGTTCATTGGTATATATGCATGGATGACTAACTTGACAACCGTTAGACGTTCTAAGACAATGACATGTTAATAAGTATGAAAGATCGTGTTTAAATCTTGTCGATGATATCATTTCACCATCGGATTAACGATAAATTTTAATTAATTATGTATTTAGTTAAATTTTATCGTTAACCCGTGAATAATCTGATCAAATTATCTTCTATTTTTTAATTTGAAAAATCATCAACAAAAATTTATTTTATTTTTAATTAAAATAAATTTAATCAGCAATATTTTTATTTTTTTTTATTTTTAAAAATCACATACGAGATATATTTTATTTTTAACTAAAATAATTTACCCGGTAATCATTTTTAATTTAAAAAATGCTGATATAATATATTTTATTTTTAATTAGAATATATACTTTTTGGTATATTTGTTTCATTTTATAAATGTAAGCATTTTTTGTTTAAAAAATGTTGAGAGACTTAATCGTTCAAAATATGAAAGTCCGTTGGGGTTTTTCAGAGTTTTTTTTATTATTTACCATATTAACCAGTTGTATATGTCATAAAAATGTATTTAACAAGTTTTAGAAAGTCCAAAGAATTATTTAATAGGTTTTAAAATGTCAAGAACTTATTTGTTTTAAAAAATTGTTCAAATATTTAATAATTTTAAACAATAAAGTCTATTGATTTTTTTCTAATAGAATTTTTGGGTATGAAAAATTCTAGTTGCAAAAACACGTAACACCCTTATAGGTCTGACCTTGATCACAGTGTCCAGATACCGGATGTTATGCATTTATATTTACAAGCGTTTAAAAAAATTAAATCAAATATAATGATGACATCTCTTCTTATATTAAAATTGCAATTACACAAACATAATTCACAGCTTAACCATAAAAAATTGATATGGCGTGCAGGTGGTTCCTTTATTCCAAAGCATTCATCAATGGGGGTCAGTGTGGGTTGATTACAACACCAGCATCGACTTTCTTTAAACAAAACTCTGCTGGATTTTTGTTCATCTTGATGTTAATCAGGTGCGATTTTCATGCTCCACCATATCTAATCACCTACTATCTCATATTTATTTGTCGTCTCTTTTTCCCCCTAATCAGATCAATCATTTAGATGAGTACTTATGTGTTTCTATATGGTTACCGCTAAAACGATTATCAGATATCAGATTTTGGGCCTTACTTCCTTCTTTACTAAACCCCCCTTCCTCTGGTTTACTCCTCTGTTACACTAAACCCACTGCACGCACTTTGATTTTTGACGTCGAACCCTAATGCCTATAAATTGCGAAAATTGATTTGAATTTGTTGTAGATGTATCTCCAGCATCATTTTATTTGTGGTAATTTGTTAGCAGTTTTAGAGAAAGCATGCGTAATTGATTTCTACAAGTCTTATGTTGGGATGGACGCAGTATTTCTTTGATTCAAGGCATCAAATACTAGAAAATTATATAGGTTTTCTTGTAGAATGGTTGGGTTGCTACAACTTTATGACAGGGAAGCTGCTTAAGAGTTGCAGGGTTTGTGGGTGAAAAACGTACCATAATTTGTATAGGAAGCTTAAGAATCTGTTGGAGATGCTCTTGAAACTTAAAGTTGAAGCATCATAGATACTGCACTTGCAATAAATGAGCCTTTTGTTCTAAAAAGACAGTGTCTGGTAGATTTTAGTCACTTTATAAATAAAATCAGCGGAATTTGAAGAAATAGAATTGCAATTTTTAAGGATTCATATTCCCTTTTTCATAATACTTTCTGATTCCTCTGCGGATTTTTTCATGGGCAGATAAGGTAAAAATGGCTTCGGCCGAAGCTAAGTCCAGGTGGTTTCCTTTTGCTAATCATTGCATTGTTGATGAAGATTATGGAAGGGCTTCAAGATTTCCTAGCTTTATCCCATCTTCATCTAAATCAGTGTCTGAGGTATGTCTCGGCGACGGAGTCCCATCAAATGATCCACCAGCTAACACCAAATGGTGGTTTAACCAGAAACACAAGGTTAACACTTGTTCTTTCTGGAACCCACAATGGGAAACCTTTGCCACATCTGTGCAGAATGATGAGAATGTAAGAATCCTGGAACTGGAGGCTGTAATTGGCGATGTTTTGCAGAAGAAGCCCACACTGCCAGAAAAGTGGATGGAATTCGATCATGACAAGCACATTGTTTCTGATGAACCCAGCAAGCTTTTATCAGAACTGGAGTCACAGTGGATTGGGATCAAGAAAAATGAACCATGGTGGCGCACAACTGACTTGGATGACTTGGCTTCCTTTGTTTCTCAGAAATCACTTGAACATTTTGACAACTGCGATCTTCCACTTCCTCAGACAAATAAAACAAAACGGTTGGTCTGTGAGAAAGGCTTGGCTTCCTTAGGTCAGGAGCTAGAGAAAGAAAAGTCAAGTTTCACCGACTTCATGCCAGGATCTCCCACCTCAATGTGCACGGATGAAACACAGTACACCTCAGGTGTCATAGGATGCTCATCATGTGGTCTAGATAGGCCATGTAGGTAATAATTTACTTGTGATTCTTGTTGCTGCATTATTGTCTTATAGTATCATGTCTGCCACTGTTAACATTAGCAAATATAACTGATTGAGCAAAAGAAGGCATATGTGTACACACGAGGCAGGTGGTAGATGCGTTTTTATTGGCTCTCCAGTTGTACCTAACACGGCAGGCACAATAATGACTTTTAGTTGGCCTTCTTTCTCATAGAAGGCGTCCAAGTAATCTCCTCCCTTTCTATCATGCAAACATAGAGCCTGTTGTTAACAACTTAATGAGCTTAATGAGACTCACAGCTTAAACATGATGGTTTGGTAGTGACTTAATGATATAGAAAGTGGCTTGATGAGCTTAATGAGACTCACCTCTTTCTGTTTTCAAGTATTTTAGGCATGAATGGTTTGTATTTGACCTTATACCATGATTGCAGTACCAGACAATCTGATGAGACTGAAAACTTGGAGACACCTAATAGCGACCTCAGCAAGACTCAGCTGTTAGAAGCACTATGTCATTCTCAAAGACGAGCAAGGGAGGCAGAGAGAGCAGCACAAGCAGCCTGCAATGAGAAAGAACATGTGATTGCGCTCTTTCTCAGACAGGCTTCTCAAATCTTCGCTTACAAGCAGTGGCTCCACATATTGCAGTTGGAGGCGCTCTGCCTCCAGCTTAGGCACAGCAAGTATCAACCATTTTACACTCGTTTTCCAGATGTTGCACCATGGTTCCCCACCAAAGTCAAGCTACCAAAAAGTGACCGTAAGGCTACCGAGAGGAAACTTGGCTCGGAGAGATGTAAAATGCATGAGTCTGTTGGGAACTTCCTTTGGGGTTTGGCTCTTGTTGGCGCCGGTGTGTTACTTGGTTGGACCCTGGGTTGGTTATTTCCTGCATTCTGATCTGCAAATTGCAACGGGGTCTGTAAGGTCAGTTTGTTGGTTGATTGGTTTTGTGGGTGCACTTTATCTATTTGTATATAATTTAGTCTGGAATCAAGGTGTATTGTTTATGGTCTTTGCTTGGAAGCATGTCTTCAATTTGTGTAGTGTGTTAACAAATCTTGCCTAACATGTGACATGGTTTTATGTCCATGCAACTTGGCATGTGTTATCCTCTGTACGTAATACAGTTGGTTTTAGATGGCATACTGTAAATATCCTTTCAACAAGGTTGTGTAATTAAATTTGAAAATGCACGTTCTTGGTTATCTTAGATGTTTGTGTTGGTTTTCTTCTGTTTGCCAAGTGCGTATGATATGCGGACCGGATCGGATATGATTGGAAAAGTGCCCGAGGTAGATAGGTAAAAGAATTGTGAAAAGTTTAAGGTTTTAGCTTGATATGTATATTTTATTTCATCCGTAATTCTTATTCCATCTATTTTGATAAGGCAAATAAATGCATTTTTCCACCTTTTAATTTTGTCGGGTCTTAATCGGATGTCATATCAAATGAAGTTGGATATCATGTCAAATGTAGAACAATAATTTGTATCATCTCATGGTCGGCTGTGGATGACACGTGCTACAATTCCAAAAACTTGTCTTGACACACGTGCTACAACTGAGCGACACGTGGGCTTCTAGACGATTCAGATTGCAGGCCAAAATCCCATATGTTTGTGATGCATCGCATCATATCTTGAGAAGATATGGATGAATATTGACCACAATTTAAAGGCCAATATCTTCGTTTTATTTTCAATTATGACTCCTATCATAAGATCCACCTTTTCAGAAATTTGCTTTTGGTTTATTTTAAATCAAACATAATATTTTTATATATTTGTTTTAGCTTTTTAAATAAAAATACAAAATGGATAGGATGAAAATTGAGATCAGAGCTTTGACACGCGGGTTGACTATGTCTGATTTGACTCAGCTGCCACTGCTGACCATCGTACCTACGTCCCCACTATTTTACCCAATTTTTGAAAACAGTCCCTCCTTTTTAAAATGAACATATTTCTTTCGCCATATTCTACAGAAAAAAACTAAAAACTATAGCTCAGCCAACATCCACCTTCCCTCCCTAATCTCCTCTCTCCTACGAGACTTTCTTTCCCTTTCAGAAACGATGCCCTTCTGCGACGTCGGGAACGCCGATGCAGTGAACAACAATGGCATAAAGATTTTTTACAGAACCTACGGCAGCGGACCCATTAAACTTCTCATGATCATAGGTATCTTTTTTTCTTTGTTTCTCCCTAGCTATGATCTTTTTCAATTTATTTGATTGAATTCTGGGTTAGGATTGGCTGGGACACACGACTCATGGAACCCACAAATTGAGGGGCTTGTTGGGACGACCAAGCCAAATGATGATGATCGGAGCTCCGGCGATGGTGTGCACAATGGGAATGGTATAGAAGTTTGTGCTTTTGATAATCGAGGGATGGGTCTTAGCTCTATACCTAAAAACAAATCCGAATACACGTAAGCCTCCTATGCATTTGATCAAATTATCAGTGTTATTTGTTTTGAATTATCTTATTTGTGTGATTTTTGGAGCTTTAGTTTGGTGGGGTGTTTTTCAATTGGATTATGGGTGTTCCTGGTGGAATAAACCTCAATGAGAAAAAAAAAAAAAGTTAACCCCCCCCCCCCCTTAATTTTACACTTTCATTTTTGAGATCAAACCTTATTATTTATTAGTCTCTGTAATTGTCGGTCCTAATATAATATTTGTGACATATTCAATTGCTGTTTACAAAGGAAAATGTTCTTTATTTTTTTTTATAATAGAGGGGGGAGAGCCCTTCAATCAAGAAAAAAATGTTCTTCATTTTAGGATGAAGCAAGCCCCAATTTGTTAAGAAAAGCATATTTGGATAGTAGAATAATGTATAAAGAATGCATGTTGGGTGCAGAACAAGGATCATGGCTGCAGATGCAGTATCTGTAATGGACCATTTGGGTTGGAAGAAAGCTCATGTCTTTGGCCATTCAATGGGTTAGTCCTAAATTATGCTTTATGAATTTGTACTTGTGATTATCAGTTCAAGTATTGGCTTCCGCTATATTTTTAGCTTATATTTCTCTATTGCTATTATACAGGTGGTATGATAGCTTGCAAACTGGCTGCCCTTTTTCCAGATAGGGTTCTGTCTTTGGCTTTACTTAATGTAACTGGTGGAGGCTATGAATGTTTCCCCAAGGTATGATTTTTTTAACCTGATGCAACTCATAGACCACATTTGTTTAATCATCATATATTGTGAAGATGTTGCTTCAACTGTTAATTATGGTAGCATACTGAACTTCTGGTATATATTCAATTGTTTATATGATTTACTATGCTTTTGACATTTACATGTGAAACTGGTTTTCTACAATAACCTTAACATATTGTTCATCTTTTCCTTTCTGTAGCTCGATCGCCAAACGTTGTCCATTGCAATGCGTTTCTTGAGGGCCAAAACTCCAGAGCAAAGAGCAGCTGTTGATCTAGACACTCACTACACACAGGTCAAAGATGCCATCTCTTTTGCACATGACCTTTTGTAACATGGAAATAGTGCCTCATGTTTGTAACTATATGCATGTATGCACATAAGAGTTTAAAAAGAAAGGAACTTTTTGGTAGGATATGCATGTGGCCTGCCTCCTTACTCCCTTGGACCCTGACAATGCTTCTTTCTGCTAATAACGTCTGGCTATTGTAGAACTTAAGTTACTTGGAAGTCATTCTTTTATGCCATTTTCCTAAGTACCTCATTAATGGGACCGTTTTCTTTTATTCTCTCGTAAAGTAAATAGGGCCCACAATCACATGCTTAACGCTATAATTTCCACATGCACCCATGTCCCTCAATTCTATGGTATCCTTTCATCGGTCCATACTCACTTTATTCCTTTTCCATAACGCTACTGATTTGTGAAAGTAGAAGTATTTTCTTCCAGCTGTACTTCTATCCTTACAATTTATATTATCTTCTGTGCAGGAATATCTTGAAGAACACATTGGACTTAAAACAAGAAGGGATATACTATATCGAGTAAGGACTGTATAACAATCCAGATCCACATAAATTCTGTTTCAGTTGTTTATTGGTGTGTATAACTCAATAATTCACATAGCTTATATCCCGTTATACGATAGAAATTAGAAACTTAAGGTTCTAGAAATTTGTATTACAAAATGTTGAAACCTTTTAAGAGCACGGCAATTTTCGTTTTTGGGGGTGTTGGAGAAAAGTTGCAACCTTTCCTGTTTATTGAAAGTAAAAGTTACTATTTTCCCGTCATTATGCCATTGCAAATATGACAATGCTATTGATGCGGGTCCGGAAGATTTATTTATTTCTATCTTTGTAGAAATATAATATAGACATTTGAATCATGATCAAAAACTGACAAGTCAAAAGTTGCAACTTTCACGGATAGAAGAGTACTTCTTTGAGCTTCGTGCTTTTAAAAATGCAACATGATTTTGTGTGATTACCCTCTCTATGTACAATCACCATTGCAACATTGCTATTTTTTAAACCCTTTATTGACTGATTGCTTAAGATCGAACTTCTATTCTAGTAACATTCTTGTCCAAACGTAATTTGTCAGGAATATGTTAAAGGGATATCAGCAACTGGGATGCAGTCAAATCATGGGTTTGATGGCCAGATCAATGCCTGCTGGACACACAAAATCTCTCGAACAGAACTTGAAGTGATCCGAGCTGAAGGTTTCTTAATATCCGTCATTCATGGCAGGTATCATTTGATTCTTCTTAGGTATGATAGTTTCACACCTCAGTTTTCACTATTTGTACACTTACAAACTATCAATTGCTTATTTTCTAGGTGTGATGTCATTGCTCAAATATCTCATGCAAGGAGACTTGCAGAGAAACTATATCCACTCGCACGGATGGTAGAACTTCCTGGAGGTCATCTTGTGAGTCACGAGAGGACCAAAGAGGTACATATATTGTCTTCACTTTAATTTCTTGTTTATGGTGTCCTGTGATGGAGGCCCTAATAAATGTACAAACTTTATTAAAAATATAGGTTAATGAAGCCCTACTGGATTTGATTAAGGCATCAGAAACCAAGACAAGCCCATATGACTGGACAAACTTATTGCCGAAGAGGTCTAGTAAGTTCTATTAGAACCCAATTCCCCAAATCGGCTATTTACCAAATTAGCAGGAAGCTCATATATAGTGGTAAGAGATGGAGTTCATCCTTACGGATGTTTTATTCACAGGCTGCTGGACAACAAGTTGGTCATCATCCAGCAGATTAAATTCAGAGGCAGAAAGCAGCAACCCGACTATCATTGTTGGGATTGCTGAAAAGCTGAGACGTATCATATTGTACATATTTGGCATATTTGTGGTGGCATTCGAGTACATAAAAAGAGTTTTAGGACGTCTAAAGCCAGTGAGGGTAGGACCAACCCTCACATGATGATGGAGCTTTTTCGCATCTGCTGGTAAAAATCCTTCATCGTGGAATGTTGTCGCTTAACAACTTGGAACGAAACCCTAATCTCCTGTTTCCCACCTTCCTGCAGGGACACTTTTTCAACCTACCCAGATGACAGTTGGAAACTTGGAAGTATGGCTCTTATAACATGTGAATATCATTGGATTACTTCAAAGTAACTTTCTATGGAACATATTTAACCAGTTCAGAAGAAAACAGTTCACAAGTATGGAGATTGCATATGTACCTGCTGTATAGAATCTTGAACTATGTGGGAGTTAGAAAGATCTGAATTGGAGGCTGGACCTGCACTGCAACAATAAAGCATCTCCTTGGTATATAATGATTACTGGCCACAGAGAATATTACCTTTTGGAAATAATATTCCAAATGGAACCATTGGTATGAGATGCCATTGGAATATTTTGATTCCTTATATAACATAGTTTCAGCAATACAAGTAACTTATTCTTCTTATAAGTAAAGCTTGTTTATGGAAAGGGAACCTTTCTGAAATTCATCAAAATTTTGTTTATTTTCCTACACACATTCATGTAAACCACTTTGGTTATTATCCTATTACAAGTTCATCAATACACTATATTGTAAAACTAAACAATAACAAAGAGCTAAGTTCTTGGATGTATCATCCCATCCCAAGCAAGTGGGCCCTCAAGGTCTCCTATGATTCGAGATATTCGAACTTCTAGACCTCTTTGGACTTCCCTGAAGAGGCTTCGAAGGCAATCAGCAAATTTCTTCATGTCAAAGCTGGTTGCACATCCATCAAATCCATCATCTGGAGCACCAACAAACCCAGAAGCGATCTTGGACTGTATCTCTATTAATTTCTGTCCTGTTGCCACTATGTACCTCTGTAATTGGAACGTCTCTTCAAGGAAGTGCTCCAATTTCTTAGTTTCATCCTTTGACTTTGCAGCGAAAGAGCCACTACGGCTTGCATCCTGATCATTCTCATGCTGCAGAAAGTAACCAAAAAGTCGTAAGCATAAAGATTTTTGAGCACTTAAAGTTGATGAATTTGGAAGCTTACCATTCGCTTGCAGATATCATTAGCCTTTTCTTGGAGGGACTGATATCTGCTAACTTGTTTATTGACTAAAGACATGAGGCCATAAAATCCCTTAACCCCAAACTGGCTTTTATCATCACAATCACTATTTTCACAACTTTCTTGCTTTCCAGTCAGCCTCTCGAACATGAGAAGTTGTTGATTAAGCCTTTTAATCTTGTAGAACACTCCAAGAGCATGAAGATCCATCTTCCATGTTGATGATGGCATGTTTTCAGCATTTAGAATTTCTTTTTTCCTAGCACATTCTTCTTTAACAGAAATTATATCTTTCTTATCTTCAAATTCCTTATCTGGAGATTGGACAGTCAACAATGCATCTTTAAAAGCGCTTTCCTCAAAGATTTCTTCAGAGGGAACTTTTAGATCTTTCTCTTTCTCCCCTGGTTTCCTCTTTATGATTCTATCATTTGACCAAACACCATCAACATGTGCTGTAGCAAGAGGATGTGAGGGTGACAGTGTGTTCGAGTAAGATATCTGGGATTTTGGAGTTCTGGGTTGTAATTCTGATTTCATTTGCTCTTTCAAGGCATGCAATTCTGATTCACGGTCCAACAATAAAGCTTCGACTTTAAGGTTTCTTTCTTTGAGCTTCGTTAGATCGTGGCCAAGTCCTTCAATATGAGAATGAAGTCGTTTCAACTCAATATCCATGCTCAATGAATGCCAACGAAAAGCTTCTAATTTCTCATCTTTAAGTCTCAATTGTTCTGCAAAAGCGTTCACCTCAAGCTGATGCCTTTGCTCCAGGATGGTTATACATTTCTCAGCTTCACATTGAACCCATCCTTCCAATTTACTAATATCCGCTGCAAGAACTTCAACCAAGATTTATAAGTCGAAAGACATAATACAGTATATAAAATGTTAAGGAAGGGTTAAAACTCAAATATGTAGACTGCTATGAGATCATAAAGATAAAAAATCTTACCCAATTCTTCGCTTGCCTCTGTTTGTTGAGAAAAGGGAGAAGTAACGTCTTGCTCTTCCTTAAACTCTGATTGCTTGTACTCGAGCAGATTGGTTGGCTGTGATCCTGTGCGGGATGGCATCACTGCACCAGATGGGGCCTCTTTGATGCCTGCAATGGGTTCCGGTTTGAATTTGTGATGTCTAGATAGCATACTTCTTAGCGAGTATCTTTCATGTCGCGTTTCAGGCACCATCCTCGACTTCTCTGTTTCTAGAGCAGCTTGCTGTCTCTTACTCTTTGACATTTTGACTTCTTTCAGTAACATTTGCTTCTCAGCTGTATCCATTTTAGATTTCCTCAGCATAGCTGACAAAATCTTGTCTTTTTGCTCCAAATCCTTGCGTGTTTTAATAAGTTCCATCGACAGTTTCTGGGTCATCAAAACATATTGTTCTTTTTGCTCTAAAACTGCATCAAGCTCTTGTTTTTCTGCTTCAACTTGTCTAACAGCTCTACCCATTTCTGCTTCAAGCTGCCGTTGTGTCGATACAAGCTCAATAAAAGCACTTTTATGCTTCCAAATCTCTTTAGAATGCTCTTGAGCCTCGCGTTTCAACATTTCCCTCAACTCCTCATTTGTTCTCTCTGTCTTTTGTACAGTTTCTTCTTGCTCTATTCTCTTTTGCTTTTCTTCCTCCAACAACTTTTCCTTCTCCTGTAGCTGATCACTCAATTTTGATGCATTTTCTTCCCTTTTCGTATTGATAACTCGTAATTCATTCAAAAGAATTCGAATATGCTGAGTAAGTTTCTTCCTTTCCATCAACCAGCGCTGCTCGTGTGCTGCAAAGATGCTAACAACTTTCTCATTCGCTTTCGCATCTTCAACTCGCCTTCTCTTTAACTCTTCAATCTCTGTTTCTGCTTTATTCAGCTTACTTAAAAGCTCAAACTTCTCAGTTTTGACTTGTTCTTCTCTCTGAACTCTCCAGAGAAGCAAACTGATTAAGCTAGCACCACCATGAAGCATACTGTCTGTAATTTCAGTCCGCTTTCTCTCATCACCCGACGAGTGTTTGAGGGAAAAGAGTGCACATGATACGCTAAAAAGCATAGGATACAAGCTGCTAGATTTTTCATCAGGTATACCCATACAAGATCCTGTGATCCACTTCTCGTTCATGGCGAGAATTTGGTTACTCCTGTCAAAAAAGATAAAACTTAGATCATCCCAATAGATTAAATGAAGGCTAAAGCAATATTAAACACGAATATGCAACAGAAACTCGGAGAAATTCATGCCAAATAAGTTTTGAGGAAAACCATGCTGATATATGATAAGATTTGATAAAACAGTACCAAACTTACACGAATCAAAGATCAAGTTTCTCGTCGATTGGAACATGAACCAAAGACAACAGCTACACACAAGAGCAAAATTTTTGATGATGTGCTCAAGTTTTAGAACTCTGATATATAAATGACCAAAAGCAGATGATAAAGAAGGGGCTTAAACATGTGGATGACTTCAATTCAGTTAAAAAAGAACATTCATAATGCAAGTAAGTAACTGATCAGTATGGAAAAAAAAGAGTCAAAAACAATATAATTTGTACCTTGGTTTCAGTAAAGGCAGACCCCTAGAGCCCCACTTTCCCCAACTTTTTCTTCTTCTGGGCTCCAAGTTAAGGCTAGTAGGAGGCAAAAGCTTAAAATCCTGGTTGTATTTTGTCCCTATTATTTACAAAAAAGAAAAAAAATAAAGTAAGAAAAAGCGTATAATCTTATCTTTTTTATGGATAAAGACGTATATATCTATCTTATGTATCATAACAAACGGTTCGATACTAAATTGTGGCTTTACAGAGTGGCTTACCTGGTGTCATCTCTTTTGTCCATACTTTGGTTACAAATGTTGCAATTTCGGGAAGTGGGTTCTGATTTTCAGAACCAATGATTACTTGCAGAACTTAAGTCCATGATTGAAAGGGAGGGATTCATGAGAAATCTTGGGATATAGAGGGCTTTGTGTGAAACAAGCAAGAATCAATATCATCACATGAAGATGCAATAATTGAAGAGCAAAGAAGCCCCGGGTTAACCCGACAAGATCCTAAATTAAGATACCCATCAAGTATTAACCATTGTTAATCTGTAAAGAATGGGGTTTTTTAATAATAAATGCTAGATGGGTTGGGTCCAAATGGAGTTGAAATGAATGTAATAGTGAAGGAAATCACTGTCAAGTCGTCATCATCAACATCGTGATGCTGACACCCTAGAAACCAGGTCCTCATGGGCCCAAAAGAGAATTGATTAACAAGAAAGATGGTTTGTCTTTCTTTTTCTTGATCTTTGGATTCGTTACTGATCCCAAGATCAGGGTTTGCTTGGAGGAGACCTGTAAAGCAGGATGAATGATGGAGCAGGCTTTCCTTTCTTGAAATAGTTATCAAGATCGGGCCTTGGTATCTGGGTTTGGTGAGGAGGCATGGAACCCAGCTGCTCCCTGTTGCCATTTTGATTGTATAATAAGCAACATTCAGCTCTTTCCTCCCATGAATGATCATTCTTTATTCTTCTCTTCAATCTTCATAAAGTATTGAAACAGCCAAAGTTGGTACTACAGGGGTATTATTGGTAATTACTCCAACATTCCTTTATTTTTGTCTCGTGGGATAAATAATGGTGGTACCAATTTAAGGGTTCTTGTTTCAAGCTTTAAAAATGAGGACCCCATTTAAATGAATTCAAAGTATTATGGAAAAAAAAATCAAAATCAAAATCAAAATCAAACCAAACATTTTACAAATCTTACCTTCATTTTGAAAATAAAATGATTGGCCAATGCACAGCATACCAAGAAAAACATAAAAACAAAATTCAAAGGAATAACTTTACAATCACAAGAAGAAAGAAAATATTAAATATTTTGTAACAACTGAATATAAAAGGCAAAATATATATTAAATCATTTGTTTAAAAATAACAATAAATGGTATATTTTATAATTAATAGAGTATATGATAGGATTATTATTTTTATAGTAAAAGTCTAAAAAAACTCAATAGATTTTAATGTTTGAAAAGATTAAGTTATTGGACAATTTTTTGAAACAAATAAGTTCTTGGACATTTCAAAACATGTTAAACAATTTATTGGACTTTTCAAAACCTGGTAAATACATTCTTATTACCTATAAAACCGATTAATGTTATAAAATAATTGAAAATTTTCAATAGACCATCATATTTTGAGCAATTAAGTCATTAAACATTTTTTAAATAAAAAAAATACTTACATATATAAAATAAAACAAATATACCAAAAAAATACTTATATTTACAACAAAGATTATTGATGAAATTTATTTTAATTAAAAATAAAA